CATCATAACAGTGAACTGGTGAACAGTGTACCGTGCATTTCTTTGGTAATGCACAACAAATTCATGGCACATACAGGCATGTGAGTTATTCGCTGCAACTCGACAACCGCATCCAAACACCCGTTCAGACTTGTACATCAGTGGTAAACATGGATTCATCAATGGTCTCATCCTGACAATGCACGATTACCGTATGTTTTAAAAATCATGTACAGATAATTTAAGTCCGTTTGAGTTAAGCCTGTAGTACGGTACGTACGGTGCATCTATCGGTTACCGTATATTATAGATTTAGTTGGGACTATTGAGAATTTAGAAGCCAATCGTTATATTTTGAATATATATATATATATATATATATATATATATATTTGCCAAGTCAAATATCCCAGGGTCAATATGGAATATAGTTATTTGATATTTTTTTGTCCATATATAAGTGTATTAGATAGTTTTGGATAACAATTTCAATTTAGGTTAAATGATTGAGTCCGAAATACAATTGCATTATTTGAATTCCGTTTAGTTGGGACTCCTGATTGACTTCCGGTTAAGCGATAATATTCCATCCCCTGATCCGATCCTGTTTGTTGAAAACCATGCCGGAGTCCTGTTTTTCGGACTCCTAAATCCTGTTTGTGCTCAACACTACTTCACAGTGGTCAATATGTCCCACGTCTCCTGTTGTGCGTCCGTCACCATCATTGTTTTGACTGTCACGGATGGGCGCGCTCCGAGTTGTTTCCTCCGGTGTTTCTTGTGCCCTTATTTGGTCAAGTTCAGATTGGTCTTTTTCGGTCCATTCATTTTCTTTGGCGTCGCCCGTTCTAGTTGAGATGTTTTAGTATCAATATTTTCCCCTTTTTGATCCTTATTTTTAACAGTTTTGCCAACTTTTTTGTTATGGTTATTTTACTCTATTTTTTTTCCTGTTCCAAGCTTTGTGTTTCAATTACATTTATACTATCCCTGTGCCAATTGTTGCTTCTCAAGCTGGTCTTTTCAGGATTTTCTCTTTCTCCATCAAGGATGTGTGAAACCTTTGATTGACTCCTCTATGTGTTTTGTCTTCAATTTGAATTGTTTTATCCACATCTCTTATTATTCTTTTGTTCAATATTTCCAGTTTTGCTGGACATTGGAAGCGCTTGTGCCGAGCTTCGTTACAATAGTAACAGCTCTCTATATACCCGGGATACTTAACAAAAAGCTTACAGCCCCGAACAAAAATGTTGTTCTTAAATAGAGTTATTTACAACGTATTCTCTATTTTTTATAATTTTTCTTTTGCCGTTTCTGATCCCTTTTTGTCCTTTAGATTTGCTATTGAGTCCGGATTTTCGTGGTTTTCCCGTATGTAATACAAGATAGTGTTGTCAATCATTCGAATCGGTATCCAAGTAACATATATGGGGATTTGATTTGGAATTAGGAGTCTGTGGGCTGGGAGATGCTTCTCTTCATGTTTCATTTGTCAAATTTTTCTATCCATCTGCAATGTTTTTTATCTACTTACGAAGCTAATTTCTATGGCTTCATTGGGATATTGGACCACACCTTCTATTTCATCGATCTTAACGTCGATTTCGTCTAAGAACTTTTATAACTCCTCTCTCTCTTTACCTGTTTTTGAAATTTAAATCTGATGTCACAAGATCTATCAACCCAGGATGCTTTGTTGGGTACGTTTCGTGGCATAACTGCGTGTTTCAGACATGTCGCTCGAAAACAAAGCTTAATCAAGACGCAAATTTTGCCTCCTTTACCACGTCCTGAAATGTTTGTGCTTTTCGAAAATGATAAAAAATGATATATTTTACGTCATTTGTCGCTTACCAGTGCATGCCACAGGCCGTACATACTTCAAATAATATGAGAAAGTGGCATCGATAAGGGGAGAAATTCCCACAGATTTTTTTTCTTCTTTTCTCTCTCTCGTTTACGGAAGGTAGGGAAATGCATGAACGCTAAGCCATGAACCACCGATATTCAAATTTATACTTGCAAGGAAATTAGCTTCTTTCACTTACCAAACCATTGCGGTAACTCATCTACCATGCATTAGCGTATATATTACCGTAAATTAAATCAGGAAAATGTGTTGATAAACGGATTGGCGCAATCACACCTGATTCCAACTTTTACTGATCAAATGACTAAAAAGTATGAGAGATAAACATATCAAACATGGCCAACTTGGAAATGCATCGTAAATCGTGAATAATTTGTACCTACGAATGCTATGTGCTGTGTCAAGCTCGGTTTCAACATAGGCTAATTTTTTTTTCAGCTCTGATAAAAAAGATAATTTAGATAAATAATTTGCATATTGGCGGCATATTGTAGATATCGCATTAGCCGATGAATCAAACAAGCGAAAAACATCTGTAGTTGGCGAGATGGAGACGCAAAATAGCACTCCCGAAATAATATTTTACATGAGCAATTCTTGAAAATTTTATCTTAAACTTAAGTACTACTGTGTATAGCAGAAGGTTAAGTGCTAATTTTAACTATTTAACTTGACGTTTTTTTGCGTTATGTTTCACAAAACAAATCTACAATGATCATGATAGTTGTAGTACTCAAGTGAAATTCACAATTGTTTTTACGGAATTTGCAAATTCAATACTTCAGATGACGATTTTGAATACTTCAGTCACGCTTTCGAATACTTCAGTCACGCTTTATTCATTGCTCCACAAAAACTTCAAAATGCAAACGAAATTAATTTCGCTTAATAATAGGCCTTTTAAACCTTCGTATCGGGATTCCACAGCTGAGGATAAAAACGCCCATATGAGCGCACTGTCAGGAAATTGGTAACGGTTTTCTCTTTTTTTGTAATATATATTTGTTGCAAGTGGCAATAATTGACCGTTCGCTATTGCGTTGTAATTGGGTTGCTTTCCTTACTACTGTATTATTGCAAGGAAGGAAATTTTTGTATGGTAAATTGATTGTAGTTGTTTGCCCGGATTGAAATCATCTAATATGTATCAGAATGGCATAATCAAGTCGGTTAAAATTAAAATTTTGTCATACCCTCTCACTAGAAGGTCGCGATCTACCAAGCGGTATTCGCAACAAATAGGTGCTATTTTGTCTGTTAGGCAGTTATATTTAACTTCGAGTTGGTTTGTATTAAATGAATCACCTACGCTTGATGTGTCCAATTGACCGAAAACTGACGACATTACGAGGTTTGCCCCTTCTAACATCAAATAGAAAAATGAAATGCGAGAGAGAACAAATATGAGAGAAACTCTATGGTTTTCACTGTGATTCCAATGAAAAAACAAAAAAACTGACTGCGGCACGAAAAGTGGTTTAATACACAGTAGAACATTTTGTCGTTCATTGCTTGAGTCCGATTGTTACCATCGGTGCATTAGTATCATGGCGTCGGTCGCGGATAAAAGTTAAATATTCGAACGAATCTTGATTGAATCTTGGCAAAAATGTATGCTTCAATATATCACCTGCTAAATGATTTACATTTGCCGCAGAAGACTCAAAGTATCCTTGCTAGAGGTTGTAAAAGGATATAACATCTTTATGGGGAGACAATGCCAAAAATCACCAAATGAAGCAATTTCAAATATGCACACATTTATAAAGTTAGTTATAAATAGTCAGTTAGAGTTATAAAGTCAAAATACACTTATTATTATCACAAGTGAACCGCGACGACTTCAAAGTACAAATTACAACCCTTTCAATAATTTTATAAAGTCGCACAATGTGCAAAAATAGACCAATTACATTCCAGAACTTTGGGAGCAAATATTGGAGCAAGCAAATTTTCCTCTAGAAAATCGAGTATATCACCAGCTTCACAAATAAACAATGAAAACGAATTGATTTAAACATTCGGCATGGTGTGTACCACGCATCAAAACGCCAGTACAATAGAAGTTGTTTTATTTGTCGGAAGCTGCATATAATGACAAATTAAGGCTAAATGTAATGCGTAATTACGCTTGTATATTACTTGCAAGTCGTTGACCGCTTCAAGATTACTCGAATTAATAGTTTTTCAATACTTGAAGACTTTGATTCCGCATGGTAGGATCTTCTTCTTAAAACAATTGAACACATGATCATCGGTAGCATGCAACAAGCATTTACTCAAGCCTTATTAGATAGCGAAGTGACTAGCTTGTATATCTATATTATAAAGTGATGTTTCACCTGAAACTGAAGTTTTCATTTGCCTTCAGAGTACGTCAAACGCTTGCGAGCGAAAGCGATGTTTTTTTTTCGTAAGAAATATAAATCTACGTGACGACGTTAGTAACGTGCATAATGTGCGTAAAGTCACTGCGCAACAACGTAATTTCATTATGTGGTTGTTTACATCAAGTTGACGCATCGAAAATATGACGACAAAGAAAATGTTGAATAGGATTGCTTATGAAAATTGACTCCAATCTAATAGTACCATTGAAAAACTATTGCTAAACCATACAAATGCTGTGAATAATGTACTAGGTTCAGTCGAGAACAAATAGAAGTTCCACGATTTTATTTATGAGCTTTGCCAAAATTTTCCATAATTTTCGATTTTGCCTGTTTCCGTAAGACAGTGGCAACAATTCTCTTTTTTTAATTTCATTTAGTCATAGAGATAATCCTTGTCACGATGAAAAAGTTGTCGAAATATCAAATTACGTTGACAAGATAAATTTTAAAGATGCATACGTCATGGGGAATGCGGAAACCCAGTAACCTTATTTCAAAATCGATAGACGTTCGTGTCTTTTAGAGACGCGAGTATTGTGATCAATTGTGATTTGCAATAAGGCATACTCTCATTATTTAACTTAGTGTTTGCAACTAAAAATATAATATTAACAAAAATTTACAATTTTGTGACTAACAAACTGTTTCATCAAATTTAAAATAGCTGAAAGTTTTCTTGGCAATATAATGAGATTCCACTACAAAAATTATCTTCCAATACATTCATCACTGTTAAATTTTACATTTTTTATGCAGGGCGTGACGAGTGCTTGTGCAATAGTAACGAAGAAAGTAAGTGAATTGTTATAAATAAGATGGTTAAATTATCTTATCGAACGAGGATTCTGGCTAACGAGTGACTACAACAACTTGAATGTATAAAAATATGTACAAATTTTTCTTTTAATCTGAGTCAATTTTTAGCTTCGACGACACAACACACTGGTTTAGCGAAATATATATACAAACAAGTATTTTATTAAATTTGCATCATTTAAAAAATAATTTTATAAAAATTGCTACAGATATAATACTTTATTTGGATTTATATGTATATTGCTTGCTTCCAGGAAAAGAACTGTTGAATGAAAAATGTTTTCATTGTCTCAATCATCCGACCATCATAAAGTTTGGTAACCTGTGCGATGGCATTTTTCATTGTCCCGATTTATCTGATGAATGCATATGTAGAAAACGAGGCCCCCCACCTGAAATATGCAATCACGTAGACAGGGGTAAGTAAGACTTTCCTTCGTGATAAAAGGTTTTTTTCCACAGGATTTTGCATGAAGACATAAACGTAATATGTATTACATCAGAGTCAATAGCAATTTAACATTGTTAGAGAATATATGAAAAGCATATGTTACATAATTAGTCCCTGTTATGTGGTTTGATAGAAAAAACCACCGGTCTGCAATAAAGTCTTGCAGAATGCCATCGTCGCATAGGTTGTAAAGATGTAAAATTTTTAAATTTTGCAAAATCACAAATAGGAATTTAGTCTTTCTCACGTATTTATTAATTTTCCGTATTAGACGCAGTGCAGTCAATGCTAAAAATCTCTGCATGTTACGCAAATACAAAAAATTTATTTTGTTCCATTTATTCTAATATTTTGCTGCCGGTCTGCTAATATTAGTATATATGATGAATAAATTGGTAACGTTCAAACGGAATATACATGTTGAAACCACTTCGTTAAAGGGTGCCGTTGAATAGTCGTTTGTTTTGTAATCCGGAACAAACAATTCAGCGGCTCCACCAGTTGTAAGCACATAAGCCGTTCGATTTATTTTATGTTAAATACTTTCTGTCATATCCTATCAAATGCTGTTGACATATTCAAGGTATTTAACATGTTCTTTCTTTCTCGATATTGTTTACGTTATCACGGTCAACATATCAGCGACTCGAAATTAAGACAACAAGCATATTGTTTGTCGGTTCATATAGATTTTTGAGTCGAGTTCTGATATTCCGGGAAGCTCGCTCTTACAAAATTTTTATACCCGATAATCAGATATTTCTATTCAGATAAAAATCAACCTCTATCGCCGCAATGGAAATGCAGCACAGGCAACAATTCGCATAAATACATCACAACATCACAGATTTGCGATGAGAGGTAATAATTACTGATTGCAATAATTCAGACAATTTTAGCCGCCAAATTACAGATATTTCTGCATTCTGGACTTCCACTGAAATAACTTTAAATATTTTCACAGTGCATCTCACTAACGTTACTTTACACACTATACCAAAGTCAATTTCACTATAACAAGCGTATCAAAATTGAAAATTTCGGATTAAGACCCATGCCCGCTTGAAGAATAGACGGTCTATTATTTCGAAGATAATTTGGTTACTCTAAACATAGTTTCCCTAATATGATGTGAAAATTAATAACTTTTGTGTCGATTCGACTTTTTGTATTTGATTCGCGTAGAAGGCGAAGATGTGAATGCAATAAATAAAATAAATTACCAACCATAATTTTTATTCAAATACTTTTTAGAGTCGATTGCGAGGATGCGTCAGATGAAACAAATTGTGAAAACAATTGTGCAGGTAAAACATAATTCAAAAATTTGTCAAAAGGGCTTGCATGACCAGAAAATACTATGCTGATTTATCGCAGTTAATACAAATAATTTGACATCATTCCACGTCCAGTTTTTGGTAGATATATTTTTTCAGGTGAACTGGTATACCACTAAAAATCATTTGCTGATGACACCAATAATTATCATTATATTTATTAAATAGTAAAGCTGAAAACTTTAAAATGGTACAATAATAACGAGTCTTTGCATCAGGTATAATAACGCTTTGTTCTTTTAAAAATACCGGCCGAGACCGTGTACTGAGATTACATTTTGTGATGTCTACCGTACCGTGTGTACTCAATGGACGCAAGCAAAACCAAAGCAATGTCATCGTGAAAAACAAATGATCGTTTCTGATCAATAAATTAGGTATACGAAATACAAAAATTGCCGAATGGTGCCGAATAGTTGGAACAAATCCTTTTATCGGATCACCCTGATTTCGAATAATTTGGGAATCGAATCCTTTGGATTCAGTGTTCTGATACCCATTTATTCTTCACACAAAACAAAATGTTCTTTCGTGCTTTTTTGCAATTGCTGTCAATTCACCTCTTCAAGAAATATTTGACTTTTTCCGTATACAATTTCGGGTGATCTACAGAAACCATACTCTCACAAATGCAAGCATTTTTATTTTCGTCATTTATATTGGTCTATCTATGTCTATCTCATTGGGAGTTGAGTTTTATCTGTTCTCAAATAAATTCTCAATAAATGAACATTTGTGCGACGAAAGAAGTCATAAGATATATTGATATAAGTGAATCATTGTATTTAATATATTAAGACAAATTTACCGTTAATAGTGAAACAAGGAAACGCTGAATTCTCTTGTTCTGATTGCAAACACACCCCTTTAAAGTTGAAAACGAAATCAGTTATGACCGATAAGAACAAACCATACAAATTGCCCCCTCCTCCCACAAAAAAAAAGGTTTTAGAAATCTGGGAAGTTTTGCGTAAACATTTTATTCTCTTTAGAATATGTTCTAAATCTAGATGACTTTCCCGGCGACCAAGAATTCCAGTCTTTAATTTGTCAGTTGTTTGGGAGTGTTTTTATACACAGCTCGAGTATGATTTGGTGACAAACATCATTGCTTTTACTATATTGCAGGGGTGGCCAACTTGCTTTCGGCCGCAATCGACTAAAGTTTTCAAATTAGATAGCGATCGACTGGTATGTAATATAAGGCCATTCACAAAAACGAACAAATATGCAAACAACTGTACACACATATTCACCGCTGCCAATAAGCTCGACTCTGTGGGCGCACTTTTATTCTATTTAATTTGATTATGTAATTGTACCCGAAGTAAATTTTCATCATTTATTTGAGATTTATTCGAATCATACAATTCAGATCTACATCCTGCCCCATTTTTGTAGTCGAGTGTTGAAAGTTCTTCAAAAAATCTGGCCAAATATCCATATTATTTGAAAAGCAAAAATACCTATTCTCAAACTATAAATGTTTCATGACTACTTGCACTTGAGTATCTAATTTACAATTTCCTCCAAGTTCGATTGCTTAGAATCGGAAAAATATTGGGCGTTCCGATCCCACTGTTACAGTTACGAATACAGTTTATCACACTTACTCTCGGTGTGAGACAACAACATTCGCATACTGAAGAAGCTATTGTAGGATCGTTTCTCAGTCAAGATTTACTATATTCGGCAAGTTTATTATTCATAAACCATAACAGCGGCGAAAGTTTTATTTGTTAGGTGATAATGTGCTCTAACGGGTTTCTGCAGACTCAAATACTGCGCAGGATGTATATATAGTATTTTACCCATGTACAGTACTGTATTCGTCCTATTTTAAAGCACAACAGGCGCTTCATGAAACTGGTTCAATGCCAAATTTTGGGGTATGTTATTGAATTCACTCAATATCAGACGCGATCGACTACTCGAGACGTGGCAGTCGACCGCTCGATCGCGACCGACGTGTTGGACATCCCTGCTTTATTGCACAGTCGTTTTTAAAGACTGAAGTTGACATATAAGATTTTCATGCCTCAAAAACGACCTAAAATATGACCGTATTCGGTGCTTGAGATGTGAAATAATCGCCCCACTCCACCGCACTTTTTATGGAGAGCAATTCACTAAATTAAATAAAGTTTTTATTAAGTTACATTGCAGTGGCTTTACGGCGACATTAAATTACAAAACGCTAGGGGTTGGCAAATAAAATATTTTTATTAAATATCGAATATTTTTAATATCTAACAGGAGTCCAGAACGCTAGCCATCCTAATGTTTGTAATTTACATTTCCGCCCATATATTCCTTTACAATTATCAATTCTCACACAACGGCAGATATCGAAGTTTGGTTTTTATATACCTGGCAGAACTAAGCGTTCGCATCGAAGACGTATGTTCGTATATTAACGACAACTATTAAGGAGTGAATTAAGGACTAAAGTTATTTTATTCTGATTTTTATCTTTTACATCGTCATTGCATTCATCATCACCGTTTGTGAATTAACCCTCCCAATTTCAAACGAACAATATTATCTTGACTTACACCGGTATGTGGATATTTATAAAGACAATAGTTGTCTAACGCATTGGTTCCCAAACTGTTGGTCGCGACCCCGGACGGGGTCGCGTGAAGATTTTCCGGGGTCGCCTAATTTCTGTCAAACATGCGCATACAAGTGACTAGGATTTGAAAGTTGGAAAGTGAAATTCGTTTTAGTCGGCAGGTTCGGTAAAAGTGCATAACTTTCGTATTTTTCAGAAATAACTCGACCATTTATTGTCGAAAGGGCGCTAAAATTACTGGGTAAAGCTGGTCGGCAGGTACCGGTATTAGTAAATGTAATTGAGTGACAAGGTTGCGATCGCCAATAATGTATTTTTCCTTTCATAGTTTTTTTGATCATGTTACATCCGAATGAGTAGTTGACCCGCTTTTACGCAAAACAGATTTTCCAGGCTGCGAGAAATTATGTTGGTTTGTTCATTTGTACTAGTGTTGCCGCTTGGTTAACAAATATACAAAGCAAAGTTGCTTTATTTGACGGTTGGCCCTTAACTAGGTGTTCGTTCGACAAGTATGGTTTTAATTGCCAGGCGGTTCCTGGGCCGGGTAATTACACTTTAGGTTTCGATCAGTTGCGAAAGCGCTTTTTTAATTCGCGCACGTGTCTAAATTCTACAGTAGGCTAGGTCTTTTGTCAACATCGCCTCCACATAGAAGCGAACATCTTCGTATTGCAATATTTGTAGTTAGAAGTCTTATACATAATTTGAAAGCGCTTCGAGCAGTCATACACGAAACCACAACAAGTTTAAGCACAATAAAAGGCACTTAGAAGCTGTGATTTCGTACATGTTTTTCCTGTTTTACGTTCATGCTCTGTTTCACTTTCGAATTAATAATGGAGCAATCTGTAATATGTTAACATTGAACTAAAAATAATAAAGACACGGTACTAAATAAGATTTCAAATTTATGTATATTCAGAAGCAATCTTACTATTTCCAAAGTATCGTACGCATGCTCACAATCTACCACATTTTATCAAGTTCGTCTATGTCTCGCCAAAAAACTCTTATAATTCTGATCTAAGAGACTTTTACACCGTGGTTTACATACGATGTGTCTTGTCCATGTGTCTACAAATCTTCCGAGTTTTCCCAGTTTTTCCGGCGCATTGCCGGACTTGTTCGTATTTATTTTTGGGCCAATGTTCACCGTCAACGTCTACTTGTAGTCGATATACAGGTACAATTGTTCCCATTGAGGCAATTGAAACTGATATACTGATTTTTCGCGAGTATCTGTAGGCTTTGATTTAATGAAAATCGGGGTCGCGAAAAAAAAAGTTTGGGGACCATCTAGCTCGTGCAAAGCGAACAACGCATGTCATAAGATCAATAACCGAATTTTTGTGCCTGCAACTACTAGAAAGCCTAAGTTGAAAAAAGATGCGGCCCGCGGTTCACCTAATTATTTGTATTTGGCCCGCCTATATTAAACGTTGCACACACCTATTTTGAGGAAAGCCCAGAACTTCCCCAGTGCCACCACGAAACATTCCTTATTCACCGATTGAGCTAATTTATCTTCTTTTTCAACCCAACATGGACCGATTACGGCATGTTTGGAAATGGCTACTCATGCCGTGAGTGATACTGTGCACTTCAGCATAAAATCAAGTGAGGGCTTGACAATTTCAGCAACGGATGCTAGAATGTCTCTTATACGTTTTCACTCAAAGCAAGGCTTGAATATGCCACATTTGACTCCAATGGTAAACGTACATTTGAACCCACGTACATTTGAACCCATGCGTATATCCGCGGGTTCAATCTATATGCGGGTGCTAAACCCATGGGTTAGGGTGAGTATGAGTTCAAATATCCGTAAAACAAAAACAATTCCATAGGTGCAATTGTCATGGGTTCAAATGTAATGGAACCGATTCCCATATTTAATGTTAGTTTGACGGTACAATATTTTCACAAGGGAGGGCGCTAGCGTTGGTGAGTTTGCTATCATTGGCGCATGAGCCATTACGAGTGATCGGCGCTATACTTCGGCAAGATCTCCTAATATCTGAAGTCAGGTGACCAGAAATGACATATGCAAATATTGTTACGCGAAGCTCACTAAAGTGCTCGTGGTACTAAAATATATCAGCATCAGACTGGTCATCATGGCTTGTTGGTATTCAACAAACGTCAAGACACTGTACGTATGACATAAACATAAGAATGGTATCGGTATGCAATAAGAAATGACGGAAACACAATGTTTTATTGCACGAAAAGCAACGCCCGAAACATATCTTTGAATTCTTATGTTTGTTGTTTTTGTCGTCGTTTTAGCTTTGATTTATTTGCGAAGTAAAACATCAGTCAACCACTTTGCCTTTATTGTTGTTATTCGCATTTTGGCGCAGGCATTGTCATATGAATCACATGCAACCTATTTTCGAATGCTAGGCTAAAATTAGCTGCCAGTACTTTAACTGACATCTGCTAATAGAGCAAAATGGCGATTTTGAAATAGAAAGACGCAAGGTATTGATGATCGTCTACCTTCCATGTATCTTTCCGAATCGGAAATCTCATATATAAGGGCTTTTCAGAATTAAAATATTTCATTGTTAATCTTGTGCTGCTGACATTAACTATATGTTGATGTTTGGTTGCGATCAATTTTAAAATAAATGTTAATTTGGACTTAGTCAGTCGATAATAAGCAATTAAATCTAATTGTTGTTGTTCTTTTATGTGTCGGGATGTTATTCAATCTATGTCGATGATGCTTTTCTATTTACCATTGCTATAACTATAGTTCTTTCTCTAACAACGAATAATCGTAAAACTCATTTTTATGAACAATACCTATATTATAATTGTTTAGTCTCCAAAAGGTATTTTATTGACCTTAAGTATGGGGTTTCTCTTTAAATATACCATCTTCTATTTTTAGGTTCAATATTGGCTGATGGGGAAGTAAAGACATGCAAGAAGGATTATCGGTGTCCGTTTTCAGGTTGATATATTTTATTGATTTAAATTAGCGCAAAATGGGAACGACTAAGTTTAAATTATTATTTACAACTCGGGCTGGGCATTTTCGAAACACTGGCGTTTCGAAATCAAAACGAAATTTTGGCTTCGAAACGAAACACACGTTTGACACAAACAGTATAACATGGCACCACCGTAACCCATTAAATTTAATGTAAAACAACACATATTTTCCAGGATTAGGCAAGGTAGGCAAAAGCCTAAAAGACCTCAACATCAACTTTTAAAATATTAGTCATTTTTGGTTGTTTTCAGACTTTAAATGCTTGTTTCAAAAATTTCGAGTTGCTTAAAATAGTGCTTCTAAGGTAAATTTACTCTCAGATCCACCTAGATAATTGGAGTTCTATGCTATAGTATTTTACGCATTCATTCGAAAAAAAATATGATTGTACAGCGTAATATGGTACCATAATTTCTAGTATATTCTGCATATTCATTTACTTTTCCAAAATCCAGGAACATAGGAATTCGCCTTCAATAATATTATTAAACATTACACTTACAGTATTCTTGAGTTGTGGTACATTTTGGCAAGCTCGGAAAAAAAACAACTAGGCACCCAGCGAACTGTTTCAAATTCTACACTAAAATCAAAGTCCCCATTAAAGACATACGCACTTTTCAACACAGCTAATTTTTGCTAACAATTTTGGCTGTTTATCGTCAACGTGACTGAATTCCGCGACAATTACCTTTATACACAGGTATTGGCTGTTGTGCTACTACTACTGTGGGCAATAATTTTTATTTTGCTTACGGATCTATACTATATGTCAGTTCAGAAAACGCAATTGTAATAACTCGATCATCGTCATAATCAAATGAGTGGACCCGATTCACACATTTCCATCCGCTAATGACGAAGATTCAAGTGGTATAATGTTCAAGCCTAGGGTTACCATATTCGAAAGCAAATTTTTAGCTTTTATGACGTCATAACCGCATATTTGACCCATGCGAGGTGCAGTCTGCCGAATTATAAAGTATGTAGGACTACTTGGAAGTATAATATTCGCATTTTAAACGGATTTTTCTTTTCGGTGGACCTATTCTTGAGCAAATATATTGCAGCAAGTTGCATAATGGTTGCACAATTTAAAAAAAATTGAAAGTCGGGAAGGGGGAGCAGGTTGTGCACCGTTGCTCTAAATATAGCTACGGACCGTCATTGAAAAAAATCTCAACTTCATTCTCAAATAATAATGACGATTAGGTTGTGCCGAACAGGGAAAACGAAAATTACATGCTTAGACCAAATTGAAGACACGATTGTAAGTCAAGTTACTACAAATTTACTCTTCTGACCATGCATATTTTTCTAAAGAACTAATTCTCCTCAATAGGGCCTTGTCTGATTTTAAAAATGAAAAAAATTCACTACAGCGCATATTTTTGAAATTATATTGAACAGTCAATATGCCTTTCATGGTTGCAACGCTCAGCTTGTTTCTCTATTTAGTCCACTGACTTTGCATCAGGGAAAAGACTCTCTACATTGGCATTGTGGCATGTAACAGCAAAGAAAAACTGTACAATCCTTAAAATTTCTGAGTGGCATGTGATGTTCGTAGACTGATCGAAATATTTGCACCTTCTTATGCGTTGGCAGTTTAATAAATTCTTTGTCCTGTACGTAACTTTACACAAACTGCCTCAAGTTACAGATTTGGTCAAAGCACTTTGCATCGTCCACATCAACCTCTTTGCCAATCAGATATTCCAGGCAAGGCTCTACAACCCTTCCAACTTCCAAGGCATCTCTCATAGAGGTTTGCAAGTTCGGAAAGAAAATTATTACATTCATCTTCATATCCCTCTTCTCTTTTTTTATTTAAAAGCCTTTTAACCGTCAAGGACATAAAGCTTTCATTCTTCCTTTCCACAAGCACCTTATGAACCAGCTCCAAATTTTCTAGCACTTCTGCGACGGAATTGTTTTCTCTCTCAACCACTTGAATACGTCCATGAAACACGGACATCAGTGAGTGCATATGCCAAAGGTATAACTCGCTTATTTCATTCTCAAAGAACCGTTTAATAACTATTGGTGGATGTTCTTGTGACAAAAAGTAGGACTTCAGGGGTGAAAACATTTCTAACAATTTTGAAATTCCAAGAAACAAGGAGAGCCAGCGATGAGAGAGAAGTCTCTTGTATTCACAATTTGCAAATTCACAGTATTCTTTCAGTTGTTCAGTTCTAACTGTGTAAATAGAAAAATATTGATATATCTTATTGATATTATTTTCAAAATCGATGTTCATTCTTTCAGCCCCATGATGAATACAATTAATCAAAACGTGTTCTAGGCAGCCAACCCCAATCAATGACGGGTTTAACATTTTCTTTAACTTTGCAAACACATTGTTTCCTTGGTCATTACGCCGAAGTCCTCCAAACATAGTAGTGCAGTTGTCTCCTGTAAATGACACACATTTTTTCAAACGCATAATTTTTTCTAATGTGTCTTTTATATAAGTGGCGATTGTGTCGGCAGTCTCGTTTGCCTTGTTTGTAAACTCAATCAATTTTGATTGCAAACCACCATTCCTCCAGTCAAAATATTGAATAATCTGTAGGAAATAATTTTCAGTTCATTGTGATTGCTGCCATCTGTTGCAACGCCAAATTACGCGATATCGTTTTCTTCAAAACTTTTCAGAACATCATCAATAAAATATTGCGCAAGAACGCTAGTAACAACTTTTGATGTCTTTGTGCGGCCGCTAATGAACTTCTTCGCTACATTAGAATCAGGGAAAATCTTTTTAAATAAAGCAGATGTACAGTCCATGGACAAAAACTGCCTCATAATCATTCCTGCCTTTTCTAAAACATGGATGTTTTTCTTGCATCTCGTTAGTTAATGGGCACTTTCTTTTAAAATTAGCCATTTGAAATAATATCTTCTTACAATAAATACAACCCAACTAAAAATACATAATCTAAAAAACAAAGTAATTTACCATCAGACTAACTGAACCAAAAGGCTATAGGGACTATCACTTTCGATCCCGAATTCCACAAGTAAAGCTTTGTGGTATAAAACTTTTGTATTCAGCTAACTTAATAAGGGACTAGCACTAGTTGCTATCAAATACACTTGCAGCTGCTCAACGAAACGGCTAAAAAGTCAGATAATAATAATCAGAAATAAACGATAGATAACTGTGGCAAGTAACGACCAAATAAGATATCAGTCCGTCAATCCAGGCTAAGCCAATCAATCAACAATACTTAGCAAAGCTACTCAGTATAATCCAGGCAATAAACGCAGCCAGTCAGCAGTAAAAATTCTGTATCAAAAATTCACTAGGCTTCCTCCTCTATGACATTTTACGTTAATTTCTGATTATATGTGCGAAATCGCCTGCTTTTATAGATGGAATGTTCTAGTAACTTTCGCAGCATGTGATCTATATCTAACCAATTCATATTCAGCACAACGGTCAATAGGTTCAAGAAAGTTCCAAGTCAGGGGTTCTCAACCTTTTTCCTGTCAAGTTTTTTCTGTCAACGCGAACCCCCGGTAATCAGACACCGAACAAAGTTATGATATATTGACTAACAATTTGTTGCAACAACAATTCATTGACCTTATGTAACTAAATTAAATCTTTGTGTTGATATTATTGCCCTTGTCGCCTGCCCATCTAATGAATTCTTAAAAACTCCCCCTAGTTCCAATAACCATAATCACTTTCTCCAATGCTCGCAGTACGCTGTCTTTAGAGATTGCACAGTTTGCCTACAAAGCCGTGAATTTCACATTGTTGCGTCACAATCAAAACAACGCAAGATCAGAAAAAATAAACGTTTCAATTGGCATCTATTTTCAATGGGCACGCATTTTCCTCTTGTAGTAATGAAGGATATTAATAAACAATGTTCTGCATTAGCAGTGTTCACAGTACGATTGCAGATGCAGTAAAATTACGGACATTTGAGCATTTTAAAATTTAACCCTAAATTCCGGACATGTCCGGAATTTTCCGGATGGTATGGCAACCCTATTCAAGCCAGCTCTGCTTGAAATATTTCATGTCGACTGTTTTGATTTTATTTTCTTTATAAATTAATACCACCAATTTGAACGGAACAATAATATAATCAATGACGCCTGTCAAACAATAAAATCCGCGATAGATCTAAAAAAATAATTAAGAGCTATTTCATACGCTGTAAATTGCGAGAAAGGCAAAAAATTTCGTTATGCTTGGTCACTATCGAAAATAAGGATGAAAACGAATAATTACGACACAATTTGATTTTAGATTTATTGCCGCGGTAACCCAGACTAATTCTTGACTATGTTGAAATATGCGATAATAATTGTAAAGAATTTTCAATCAAAAACATCCTTGACGTGTTATAAGTACTTCAAGTCGGCGCTGACTTAAATCCTTTCGGGGTCGTCAGTTATTTATTGCAGCGTCGCTAAGAGCGTCTTCGTTACGATAAAACATAAAATGAAATATTTGAAAAATGTTTTCAATCAAAACGCGAACGGCGGCGCTAGGGCGTATCCACGAAGTTCAATATTCTTATAAACATTAAAAACGATGTTCGAAGCTCGCAATATTTGAAAAAATTCGGATATTAAATTCGAATTGGACTTCCCTGAAAGATACCTTGACTAATTTCATATTGATTTTGTTATGACGTCATAATGACCGTTTCGAAAGTCGAAACACCGGCGTTTCGACATATCAGTGTCTCGAAACAGTGTTTCGCCCAGCCCTATTTACAACATATTGATAATCGCGATTCAAATTAAATCCTAGCTCTGCAGATAGGTTACATTACCAAGTATTTCATTGAAAACTATTTTATATATTAAAAGTATTTCGGTTGAATAAATTATCAAAATACTTTTATTGTTTGCTGAACCTAATCATTCATTGTGAAAATAGGATGATCAATTTCATCCCTGTCATGATAATTGTGGATATAATGAAGTCAAAAT